TCTTAAGACATTAGGGTTATTACTAAGACGTCCTAACATTGCTTTAGTGATCGTACGTCCCTTTCGAATTGACCCTTATACCTCCAACGATGGTGCTACCTACTCACTAATAGTGGGATAGTATTGTATAAAGGAAACGAACATAGAACAATTCTTTTTTCGAGTAGGTAGATGCTAGTAGGTACTTGCTCAACAACAAACTTTTCCACACTTACACTCTTTTCAAACAATGTTTTTCAAAACAACTTCGTAACACTCTTGAAGACAGAAGCAAGGGTTAAATCGAAGTCAAACAAAAACTTTTCAAATCAATCACACACAAGCAATTTTGAAAATGATGAGCAAGTACCTAAGATCCCTTGGATAACCACTGATAGAAATGGTGCTAATACCTTCCCTTTCTATAATCTACCCCCCGTACTCAAAAATCTCGAAAAAGGAATTTTTCTGTGCTTTTTTCCTTTCCAGTTGGATAAAATAAAAGTCGGTGGCGACTCTTGCTTACCGCGACATTTTGCAAACACAAACGCAAAACGCAAACTAGCATTTCAAAATAGTTCCAGTTCTGGCCACCGTATCACACTTAGCATCAAGGATATCTAAAAAAATGGTTTAATCAAAAGCGATCCATTTCTGGGGGAAAAGCATCTAAGGAAGAACCCTATAATCATAGGCAAGACTAATGATCGTAGGGATATATCATATGAAGATACTATTTACAAGGGGTGATCATTCAGAGATTCAATCAACTTGAATCAAATTTCAAAGAACTGTTCAATCGGGGCATACCTTTCAAAGGAGTATTCCTTAGTCAAGTCATATCACAATAGGGTATGACTCGGTTTTCTCCTTTTAACAAACCTCTCAAGGCCCTAATAATCAGGGGCACCCTTCTAAGATTCAAATGTTGGGGCAGTACGTACCGAGTTCATCCTACTACATACAGGGCCCAAATTCCCCTTCAAGCAACTTCAAGTACAAACTTTTCAAGCTTCGAATACTTGGGGCAATCTGTGTTAAGTTCATGGTGTGGTCTAAGTTCTTTATGAGGGTACTTCCTCCAGATCCTGGAGATTAAGGGGAACATCTTTCAAAATTCGAATATTGGGGCAAACCATTGTGAGGCTCGGTCAAAAGGAGTTGATTTAAAATGGTTCATCAAAGCCAAGCATTTTCAAGAATCTTTTAATCAGGGGCATAACGCAAAATAGTGGGCTCATTCATATTATGATAAAATTATTTCTAAGCTTATATCAATGAGAATCTCCTCCAAGACCCAACACATTCCCCATAGGGGCAAGTTGTCTGCGTACTTTCATAATATCCAGTGGATCTTTCTCCTACATCAACAACCTTCGAGTTTAAATCAAGTATAGGGAAAATATTAAACCATCATGTGACAAGCAGCCTTATTACGCAAGTAACACCTCTACGCTTAATCATCCACGACCCATCATAGGGGCATCAGTCAAAAGCATACGAGTTTGCATAAATCATTGTTATGCATTCATTAGGTTACTTCGATCCAGAATCAAGCTATACTTATCATCTCTTTCGGTTGACAACTTCCGACAGCATGGATATCAAAAATCCCAATTACGCATTCGCATTTCAAAAATTCAACATCCATTTATGCATATCCAAGTCCCCCATTACAAGCATTGGTCATTCATTCTACGCATTACGCCTGCATCTGCATACATACATGACATATCATAGACCGAGACTTAGGACCCCATAAAAATCTAGAGTTAATTTCTAGGGGAATCACTATTACAATCTCTAAACATATCTCCGACTATCCCACTCAGTGAGTCTATGATACAAGCATTCTTCATCAAACTAAGGCGTGATCAGCCTCACACAACCTCATTTCTTTGTTCATACATAAGAATCCTTAAGTAAAAGTTGTGATCAGCCTCATGCTTTCCAAACACCTAATCGACGTCTTCTGGTGACCCTACCGATATTAACAACCTTGTCGTCCCTTTCACCTTCCAAAGTTGATATTATTCCAGTAGTCCTACTAACGTTGGTGCAAAGCCTAGTTCCTGTCTGACACATCTTTTTAAAAGCCCAGACCCTAATTGGAATGGCTTCTCAGAAAAATATTTCTCTTCTATCTTGACATCCACAGTTCAAATGACATGGGCATTGCATTTATCAATCATCGCATCATTTCAATCAATAACATTATCATATCAAACATACATTCCGTGCATCATGCATATATCAAGCATAATCGTATCAAACATGCATACATGAATTACATTGAATCATATATGCCCATGAAAACTGCGGAAAAATCTCAAGGCATGACTACCAGCTAAGACAAACTCAAATTCAAATCCAAGCTCAACATTATCCATTCATCTTGCTATAGCTACCTCGATTGAGAACATATACAACCATCAAAGGTACCGCTATCAAAATTTCACTAGGCATCTTACCTACGATTCATATCCAAGGCGTAGTCATCACCAGCTTTCAGGCATTACACTTGCAATTACCAAATTCAAACTTTTCAAGTTTGAACATCTCAAAACATTCAATTTCATTTGTTAATGAAGCCTAAGTTGAGAACAGACACAACCGGTAAAACTTCGATCGTATACCTTAGTTGAGAATATACACAATTGATATAACTTCGATCTTATTCAACAAATACGTTAATTGAGAACAGACACAACCGGTAAAACTTCGACCTTATACCTTAGTTGAGAACAAACAAAACGGTATAACTTTGATTGTATTCACTAAACACCTTGGTTGAGAACAAACATAATCGGTAAAACTTCGATCATATACCTTAGTCGAGAACAGACACAACTGGTATAACTTCGATCTTATTCAGAAAATGCCTTGGTTGAGAATAGACACAGCTGGTAAAACATTGATCTTATACCTTAGTTGAGAATATACACAACTGGTATAAATTCGATCTTATTCAGCAAACACCTTGGTTGAGAACAGACACAACCGGTAAAACTTCGATCTTATACCTTAGTTGAGAACAGACACAATTGGTATAACTTTGATCTTATACCTTAGTTGAGAATAGACACAAGTGGTATAAATTTGATCTTATTCAGAAAACGCCTTGGTTGATGACTGACACAACCGACGCCATCGATGAATTTGGGGTTTATTTCTTCCTGTCGATAGTCATGGTTGCGAACGACACAACCGATATCATCAATGAATTTTGGGGTTTATTTTTTCATGTTGATAGTCATGATTAAGGACGATACAACCGACATCATTGATGAATTTAGGGTTTATTTTCTTCATATTGAGAGTCATGGTTGAGGACGGCACAACCGACATCTGAATTTGGGGTTTATTTCTTCATGTTGATAGTCATGGTTGAGGACGACACAAGTGACATCAATAATAAATTTGGGATTCATTTCTTCATGTTGATAGTCATGGTTGAGGGCGACACAACCAACATCATTGATGAATTTGGGGTTTATTTCTTCCTGTTGATTGTCATGGTTAATGGCGACACAACCGACACCATCAGGGAATTTTGGGTTCCATCGCTTCTAATCTAGCATATTTCATTTGGTTATCATGTTTTGGATGAGGGCTGACACAACCGACAACGTCTTTCCAAGTTTCAAATATCTGGTTTCAAGCCCGTATCATCTATCCTCTAGGCTATGGCAGGCATAAAAAAATCTTTGGCTCATCACGTTAGTCTCTAAGCAGTAATGTATCATCAATCTTTATGTTATTCATCCCCTGGGTTGCGATAAAATATACAAAGTTTGTGTCACAAACTTACTATATTAGTCTCCAAACATTAGTAAGTCAGCTTTGTAAAACTTGTATTATTTTACCTCCTAGGTTAGGGTAAATATGCAAACGATCTCTCCTTAGGTGCTAACGAGTTATCTGCGTCTTCATATCTAAGTCAAATCAAATTTGGTTTAAACGTTGATAAGAGGATATATCATCATATATGCATATTCTTCATATTCATGGGAACGTTGTACAACGTATCCTCATAATCTTTCGGACAAATTTTGGGGTCTTCAAATATTTAATAAACTTTGGATCAGAACATGTGAGACATGCATATTCTCACACTATTCAGTCGAAAAATATTTAAATAAGGGCAGTTGTCATACCCCAAATTTGCCCTCCTTTATCACTACGGTTGAAATTAATTTCAAACTTAGATTTGTATAAAATTCTTTTGATTTACGTTAATATTTTGGGGTTCTATAAATATTCGTTCTCACGTCCAGTTAAAAATATAATAATTTATTTTAAGGTTATTTGTATTTTTGAATAAACAAATACTTGCTCGTTTTCATGTACTTTCAATTGACTTTTTATTTTGAATATGTAACATAGCACAGTTGGTAAGGAATGTAGCTTGCGAGTATGAAGTCGTGGATTTGAATCTTGTGTGTGATATTTTCAAACTTTTTTTTTTTATTATTACTAATTTTCTTCCCTTTTTTAGAGATTGCCAATCCGAGTCACACTACATTATCATCTCCTATTTTACTTCACACACACTTCTAACCTTATTTTTCTACTTGTTTTCTAAACTCTACTTTTGTACATAGAAAAGCTATTCTGGTATAAACTTGGTACACATTTTTACTTTTACACATTTTTACTCACGTTTCTTTGCAAAGCAAAACCAATAGATAAAAAAAAGTTACACAGAAATTTAGAGACTTTTTTATCCACCACTTTTTGTTGTAGATCTTTCCGATCACTATTCTCATCACACATATTTATCTATATTGTTTTTATACTTATTCATGTCAATAATGTGATGAGAAATTAAAAAAAATAACTACAAATGATGGGGTTTATTTTCATGACCCCTGCCAGATATTTTTCTGATGATAAGTTTTTGTTTATTTGCTTTCAAAGTTTCAAACGTTATGATGACATTGGTGCCAAATCATAACCCTTCTTCACCATTTACATTCAAATGTTACATTTACAGAACCTTCAACCACTTAAACATGTAGCTACACAAGCAGGACAATAACAACTTCACTGTCACTTTCTTGGTGATAATCTCTCCTCTCAACAACCACTGATTTCGGCATAACCTCCACACTTCCGATCCAGAAGCAACCGATATAGGCTGGGAGCCACACCTCCATCGTCGACGACGCAACAGACGGACCCAGATCGCCGATCATCACCTTCAGTATTGGAGATTGCCCATTGAGAATATCACGTGTATCCATCTATTGTGCCCTTTCTGAAACTTTTTTAATGGGTTTTATTGTTGGTTCTTAGGTGAAGAAGCTGAAAGAACAATGAAAGAAAGGGAGAAAGAGAAGATATGATAGAGATGAGGGAGGCAGATTTTTAGATCTAAATATAACATGGGTCGTCTCTCATGCTTATGTTTTTGTAATTTTTGTTTTTCTTAAACAACACGCCACATGTTGCTTCCTAAGTGGCTATAGGCATTAGTACTAAAAAGAAAACCTTTACAAAAGAAAATATAACGGATGAGCGTAGCTTAAATTGGTTTGTTATTTCCTTTACCATTCTATTTGGAAAGTCAAGTGTATTGTTACTCTCTTCTTCATTTTATTGGCATTAGTTATAATAGAAATAAGTTTTTTTTTAGAAATCTTATTAAGTTAATTTAATATTTTACATTAAAATATTAAAACCCGCACAATTCACCAAATACCCCATCCACGAGTAACACATGGCTAATATCTGGATATACCCCTTAAATTGTTTTATCAAGTATCACCACTAATGTAATCAAAATTGAATATCTCTTTGTGAAAATATACCTCCACTCTATTCCATGTAACGTTGTTGACTCTACTTGTTGACACTTGAATATCTCTTTGGGAGTGAAAAGCTAGTAGAACGCTATAATATAAACGACTGTTTAGAATAATCTCACATAGAAACATAAACATAAACACAAATCCAGATATATATCTTTGGGAGCGAAAAACTTACGTGTCAATCATCTTCTTCAAATTTGGATATGTTGACCAATCATTGTATAACGAATCCAGATAATACATAGTATCTCTTACAGGATTAATCACAACCAATAACCAGTGTCCACTGTAAGATTAAACAAAGATTAAACAATGGCCAAAAACGGAAAATTATAATAGATCAAGTTAGGATAAAAATCTAACCCGTTGTCAGTATTATATGGTAAAAAGAACAACTTTTAAGTATCTTTGCAGGCCACGAATAAACCGAGTACATATGCAATGACATCATCTGGTCTTGTTACGATTAACCCTGAATTGACAGTGTTGAGAGCTAAGAAGCCAAATCTTGCTTCTAATCCACGTGGGCGCACAATATTGTCATACAGAAACCTTAAATTAAAACATCATTAACATTATACTATATTCATTGAAATGAGGAAATAAATTGTTCATCTAATTAAACAAAGTTGATCGGAGTATACCTGATGTATGTACCGATAACACTGAGGCCTAATTCCAAATGTCTAAAAACTTGATCTATATCCTCTCTACCAATTGCTTCCAGGTATTCAAAACCAAAGATGTCTGCACTCATAGGTATAAGGCGGGTACCACCATCCGGAATATTTGTTATTCCTAAATATGTCTGAAGGCACGACCTGAACTGAGCAGTAGTTTTTTTGCTAGCCACGATCTTCTTACCCCTACTGACTTGTGCAATCTCATCCGCCTTACCCCTACTGACTTGTGCAATCTCTTTAGCATGAATCTAATTATCATATAATTAGTTAGGTGAAGTATAAAATCACAAATTAGCATTTTTATAGCATAAATGTCATATAATTGTTTGGTACCTCAATTGATGCAACTGACTTGGTTTTCCGCCTAATCCCCTTATCTTTTGGAATGGATTTTGTTGGAGTCTAACATTACCATGTAAATAAAATGTAAGTAAAATTGTCTTAAAAATTTGAATAGTAAACAGTTTTAAGCATACCTCATCATCTACGCAAACGAGGTTTGATGGCCATGCAACAAATGATCCTATTGCATCTTCCACCAATGTTGCATATGCCACATCGTCAGGTAGTGGTAATAACTCACCCCTCTCTAAAACAACATCAATCGATACTTTCAAAAATCCATTTGGGAGAGGTTTATGGTGAAGCATTTCTCCCGAAGTATTATACACTTTTCCTGTATCCATCAGAAACCTCCACCTCGTTCTCCCACAAAATCTTTAAATCTTCGATCAAAGGTGTCAAGTATACGTCTATGTCATTCTTTGGTTGTTTAGGCCCAAAAATTAACATAGATAACATCATGTACTTACGCTTCATACATAGCCATGGAGGCAGGTTATAAATCATAAGAATCACAGGCCATGTGGTATGTGAGATACTTTGAAGACCATGCAGGTTCATTCCATCAGTAGATAAAGCCAAGCGAAAGTTTCTTGCTTCTTCTCCAAAATCATCTAAGACAACAACTTTGTCATTATCCATGGCATTTCAAGTAGTATATACAATTTTTATGAACGAAAATCCGAACTCTCTGTTTCTATTTGTAGCCAAACAATCCACAATCTCTTTTTATAGCAAAATAATATAATAAAGTATTATTGATTCAAATAGTCATAAAGAGTTTTTGCCACAATATCTCTATTTTTATTTGTACCCAACGATTTCGCAGAGAGAAACAAAGAAGAGAAAGAGAGAAGAGTACCTTGAAAGTGACGGTGGAGGACAGCGGTCAGCGGTGGAGAGAGAGCCTCGTTTTGCAGAGAGAGACGGTGGATGATGGCAGACAGTAGTGGAGATAGAGCGTTGAAAAGGGTTTCGTGTGAGAGAGACAATACTGATTCTAATCGTTCTATGAAAAGAGAAACAATATTGATTCTAATTTTTAATTTCTAATTATATGACTTTAGACAACGCTTTTGAGAAAGCGCTGGCTAATATGAGCCTTTAGCAACGCTTTTGAAAAGCGCTGGCTAATGTGGTCCTTTAGCAGCGCTTTTGAGATTTTTTTTTTAAATTTATATGACTTTAGACAGCACTTTTGAAAAGTATTGTCTAAAGTGGTCCTTTACCAGCGCTTTTGATAAAGCGCTTTCTAAAGCAACACTTTTAGCAGCGCTTTTCAAAAGCGCTGTCTAAGATCACATTTTTAGCAGCGCTTTTATTTATCATTTTATACTGTTTCTGTGTTTTTTTTTTTTAAATTCACTTATAGCAGCGCTTTTGTATAAAAGTGTTGTCTAATGTGCGCTGTTAAAAGCCCTTTTGGCGTAGTGCATCCATTATGATCCCCCTCAAGCGGAAGCTCTTTCATCCACATACTTGTATCGTTGTTGAGAGACAATCTTATCTCATCATGGACACTTCAATGGGATACACCGCTTAACCTATCACCTTAAGAATTTGGGTTAATATGTGGTGTCTCTCTCATTTTTTTGGGTGAGTCTTTGATCTTTAGGTAAGTATTTGGTCCAATGTGTATGTTTCTCCCTCGATGATGACACATTAGTGGTATCAGAGTCCAGTTCGAGTAAAGGACTAGCTCCTTGTGTCGAAAGTCTTCTTGACATGGTGGTCAGGTGGCGTGTCCCATTGAAGTGCCCGTATTGAGATAAGGATGTCTCTCAATGGCGGGACAAGTATGTGAATGAAAGAGCTTCTGCTTGAGGGAGAGCATAATGGATGGATTCACACTTGAGGGGGAGATTGTTATGAAACAAGTGTGAATTCTAAGTTCCAAATTGCTTAGAAAAGTGAAGGTTGAGCACTTCATAAATGAGAGGACTCATACACCATCACCTTAAGCTTTTTGGTGAATATGTGAGCTCTCTCACATTTATTTGAGTGAGTCTTTGATCTTTAGGTAAATGTTTGACCCAATGTATATATTTCTCCCTCGATGATAACCCATCAGCTAGAAATAATAGCTTGTGCTTTTATGAGTATTATTATTCACTATATAAAATTTATTTGTAGACGAAATGACAACCATCAAAATATGAGTGTGGATATCATATAATGATAATTATGTTGAACATTGTATCTGTCAATATTATTGATTCATTAAAGCAGGTGATATATTTATAATTTATAATTAGATATATTAATGATTTATAGTGAATATTTGTTATTATTCTAAGTATTTTAACACTTCGTTCAACTTATATGGATTTAACACACATACAACTTTCTTTAAAAGAGACTTATATGACATTCGTCTATGTTGAAAAGATTTGCTTTCTTAAGTTTTAAAAGTCACTCTAGTGTATAGTTTGTTTGATGTAGTCTTGTTGATTGAACTATTTAATATGTTTGAGTTTTCATGTAAAATTTAAATATGTATAATTTATGAGTCACTATAAATAAATATGTCGAATAGCCTTATGTACCTAATATAAATATGTAGTCATTCTGAACACATTCTGAGTCATTTTAAAAACATTTTATTTAGCCATGAATCCATTTAAATATATATGGTTCAAAATTTATTCCATTTAAGTTTTGTTATAAATATATAAAACTTTGGCTTTTGGTTATTGCAATTTAAATTATGGTACAAATGTATCATTTAGATTTTATTTATAAACTAATATATAATTAATTAATTATTAGTTTTGGTCTCTTTATTTTGTACGAAAATATCAATAATTTTAAATTCAAAAGTATGAAAAAGAACTATTTAAATTTTAAATAAAGGAATAAAAAAAATTAAATTAAAAATAATAGAATCACTTTCAAAAGTACAATGCTGAATGCTTGGAAGTTGATGAACTCTGTGGAGATATAAGATCTGAGTAAAAACCTGTTCCTTTTTAAGTTTTCTTCGAAAAGGGATATGGAGTATATCTTAGAAGAGCGGACCTTGGAGCTTTAACAGAGCTTTGCTGATTCTGGAAAGGATATAAGGAGAAGAACATCCCTCGGAGTTAAACATGCATTTTGGTATTTTCTGGGTTAGAATTTATGAGCTTCCTCTAATACTGATATTTGAAGCGATGGCGAGCAAATTAGGAAACATTATTGGAGAGTTTGAAGGTATGGACCAGAAGGAAGGCCACCGCAGTGGAAGATTTCTTAGAATAAAGGTGAAGATGGATCTGAAGAAACCCTTAAAGAGAGGAACATTGGATCATGTGGAGGCAGCGCAGTAGGGCCCTTTAGTTATAAGAAGGTGACAAAAACTCTAAATTCTTCCGTAGGAAAGCTGATCAAAGGAGAAGGGTGAATAGAATAAGAAAGCTAAAGGACGAGGATGGCTGGTGGTGGAGGGGGAGATTGCATTGTGAGAGAATTATTACCAATTATTTCAAAGATATTTTCTCAACCTCAAACCCGAGTGGTATTATGGAAACGTGTCTCGTTGTGAAAGATAAACTCAGTTTGGATAACAAGGAGTGGTGTGGGAGAGAATTTACGGAGTCAGAAGTGGAAGAAGCGCTTTTCCAAATGCACCCCTTGAGAGCACCTGGTCCGGATGGGCTCCCTAGATTCTTATTTCAAAAGTATTGGCATGTGGTGGGGGAAGACATAAAGAAGATGGTCCTGGTTGTCCTTAACGATAAGAAAGATCCAGCGGAGATGAATAAAACCTTCATCGTGCTCATCCCTAAATGCAAAAACCCTAAGTCTCTGAAAGAGTTTAGACCAATTAGTTTGTCTAATATGGTGATGAAGATTGTGTCGAAATCGATTGCAAACATGCTGAAAGTGGTTCTTCTCGGAATTGTTGATGAGAAGAGAACTTTTGTGAAAAGGCGTTTAATCACAGACAATGCTTTGGTAGCGATGGAGTTCTTTCATTGGATGAAGAAGAAGACGAAAGTAAGGAAAGGCGTGATGGCTCTTAAGCTGGATATGGCAAAAGCTTTTGATAGAATAGAGTGGAAATTTGTGGTTGGAGTTCTAGATTCCATGGGATTTCCAGAGAGTTTTGTTAAGCTAATCCACTCCTGCATCTCTTTGGTGTCTTTCCAAATCCTTTTCTATGGAAGTCCTAGTCTTTCTTTTAATCCAGAAAGAGGACTCCGTCAAGGAGATCATTTATCACCTTACGTGTTTGTTTTATGTGCAAATGTTTTCTCTGGCCTAATTAAGGAGGTTGTTGGTAATCATCTAATTCACGGTATCCGTGTTGCTAGGAAACTCCCCGCATCTCTCACCTTTTCTTTGCGGATGACAATACTCTGTTCTTTAGAGCTAGCCAGAAGGAATGTGAGAAAGTCCTTGAGATACTTGACAAATACCAGAGAGTTTCGGGTCAGATGGTTAACTTTGACAAGTCGGAAGCCTCCTTTAGTCGAAATGTGCAGGAAGAAGTCAAAACTATGATCCATAATAGGATGGGAGTAAAGACTATTGTATCTCATTCGAAGTACCTGGGGTTTCCAATTATGATTGGAAGATCCAAGAAGGAGGTGTTTTCGCTTGTGGTGGAGCGCATTTGGAAGAAAGTCAAAGGTTGGAAGGAATGTTTTCTCTCAAGAGCTAGAAAAGAAGTCCTCATTAAAGTTGTAGCGCAGGCTATTCCATCTTTCATTATAAGCTGTTACAGAATTCCAGTCGAAGTGTGCAATGATATTGAGAGGATTCTAGCTAGATTTTGGTGGGGAGCGAAAGGAGGTGAATGAATGATACACTGGATGAGTTGGGAAAATCTGGCGAAAGCAAAGTTTTTTGGGGGAATAGGCTTTAGGGGGATTGCGGAATTTAATTTGAGCCTCTTGGGAAAGCAGTTCTGGAGGCTTCAAAGAGATGAAGGGTCCCTGCTTGGGAGAGTGTCGAAGAGTATATACTTCCCAAATTGCAATATTCTTGAGGCTAAAGTGGGTTACACTCCAAGTTACGCTTGGAGAAGCGTATTTGTTGCTAAGGAGTTGGTAACTGAAGGGTCTAGATGGCATATTGGCGATGGGTTGCAGGTTTACGTGTGCAAGGAAAATTGGATCCTGAATAGCAGTGGTTTCAAATGCCTCAGTGACCCAAAAGATTCTGATATGGAGATGACATTTTATGACCTTATAATACATGAGATATGCTGCTGGAATAGAGATCTTGTGGAGAAATTATTCAGCCCGGGGGAAGCGATTCAAATCATGAGCATTCCATTATCGATGATCAGATTGGGTGATGAGAGGATTTGGCATGGTGAAGCAGATGGATACTATTCAGTTAAATCTGCTTATAAATTAATTTCTAACAAGAATGTTGCCAGTAAAAGTGGCATGTCGATTCATGCTCACTCTAACTTTTGGAAGAAGCTTTGGTGCATTCTTGTTCATGTTCGCATCAAGAACTTTATGTGGAGACTGTGCAGGAACATCCTCCCAGTTAAAGGAAATTTGATAAAGAGGGGATGTGATATTGAATCTTTATGCCCATTTTGCTGCGATTATCCTGAATCTTCCCCTCACATTTTTCTGCACTGTCGTTTTTGTTATGTTATTATTAATATTGTTATTAATTGTTATTTGCTATATGTAACTGACTTAGTCTCTATTGATCGTGAGAGGATCATGGTTGTTAGTTTTAATTAAGCCTAAATTGTAGGGAGTCAAGTATGACTTAGTGGCCCTGATTCTTAGGAAGCATTCAGTTCAGTTTTCCTTTTTGTAAGCTATTTATATAGCAGTATTTCATTCTAATAAATATCAGTTACCAGATTTGTTAACATCTGGTATCAGAGCGAGAAAGACCTCAAAAGTGTGAGGGATTCAAAAGTGTGAGAGTACCACAAAATAGAGTGTTTGGGGTATGGGATCCGAAGAGAAGAATGGTGGATTTTCTGTACCCTCCATTCCCAGATTCGATGGAGATTACGATCATTGGAAGATGGTCATGGAAAATCTCTTGAGATCCAGAGAATATTGGCCCGTGGTGGAGAACGGTTACATGTTGCCCAAAGAAGGAGAATTGCAGACAGATACGCAAAGGAAGACCCTGGATGATTTGAAACTTAAGGATTTGAAGGCGAAGAATTACTTGTTCCAATCCTTGGACAAATCAATTCTGAGAACCATCACCAAGAAGGACACTTCCAAGCAGTTGTGGGACTCCATGAAGATGAAGTACCAAGGAAATGATCGGGTTCGACGTGCTCAGCTCAATCGACTCCGACGAGAATTCGAGGTGTTGGCTATGAAACAAGGGGAGTCAGTCAATGACTACTTTGGAAGGGTGATGACCATAGCCAATGACATGCGAAATTGCGGTGAAGACATGACAGATGTCAAAATCGTAGAGAAAATTTTGCGAACACTGACGGAGAAATGGAATTACATTGTGTGTTCCATTGAGGAAGCTAATGATGTTGATGAGCTCACAGTTGATGCCTTGCAAAGTTCCCTCTTGGTCCATGAACAAAAGTTCAAGAGGGAACCAGATGAAGAACAAGCACTGGCGGTTTCTTATGGTAACACCGGTGGTCGAGGACGAGGGAGAAACAGCTTCAGAGGAGGAAGAGGTCATGGACGAGGCCGTCAAAGCTACAATAAAGCAACAATTGAATGTTACAAATGCCACCGATTAGGGCATTTTCAATATGAATGCCCTAATCTCGAGAAGACGGTTAATTATGCTGAGATGAGCAAGGATGAAGAGATGCTTCTTATGGCTTATATTGAAGCATCAGGGGAAAAAGGAGAGACTGCATGGTTCTTAGACAGCGGGTGCAGCAACCACATGAGCGGAGACATCTCTCTCTTTTGTACCATGGAGGAAGGGTTCAAAAGAGAAGTCAGTCTAGGGAACCATATGAGGATGAAGGTTGTGGGCAAAGGGAGTGTTAGGTTAAATCTTGGCGGTGTTTGTTATGTTGTTCAAGAAGTGTTCTATATTCCAGAATTGAAGAACAATTTACTAAGTATCGGACAGTTGCAGGAGAAAGGCTTGGCCTTTCTAATCAAGAACAATGAGTGCAAAATCTATCATCCATTAAAGGGCCTTATCCTTGAAAGCAGAATGACACTCAACAGAATGTTCATATTGCTCTCGAAGACCTCCTCGGCTACCAATGAGTCAGGTGAATGCTGCTTCCAAACTGACATCCAAGAAATTGCTCATCTATGGCACTGCAGGTATGGCCACCTTAGCTATACTGGACTTCAAACTTTGTCAAGCAACAACATGGTTAAAGGCTTGCCAAATCTTGGAGAAATCATTGCTGCTAGAGAAACTACTGTTGTATGCACTGAGTGTTTGAAAGGAAAACAACACAGGGAGATCATACCAAGAAAATCCATGTGGAGAGCTGAAGCCCGATTGGAGCTTATACATGCCGACATATGTGGTCCCATCTCGCCAATGTCACATGGTCAAAAAAGGTACCTCATCTGTTTCATTGATGACTTTAGTAGGAAGGCTTGGGTGTATTTTATTGCTTATAAGAGTGATGCATTTTCTACATTCAAGCAATTTAAAAGTCGGGTAGAAAGGGAGTCCGGTTTATTTGTGAAATGCTTGAGAACTGATCGTGGAGGCGAGTTTACCTCACACGAGTTTACTGATTATTGTAGACAAGAAGGGATAAAAAGACAGCTCACAACAGCCTACACGCCACAACAAAACGGAGTTGCCGAAAGGAAAAACCGAACTGTCATGAACATGGCCAGAAGTTTACTTGCCGAGAAGGAAGTGCCTAAGATTTTCTGGCCTGAAGCGGTTAATTGGGCATTCCATGTGCTTAACAGGAGCCCCACCTCTGCCGTAAAAGGAATGACTCCTGAAGAGGCCTGGTCTGGAGTGAAGCCCACAGTCGAGCACTTCAGAGTTTTTGGTTGCATTGCTCATGTCCACATTCCAGATGCTCGAAGAGTCAAGCTTGACGACAAGAGCACTAAATGTGTTTTATTTGGAGTAAGTGCTGAGTCGAAAGGATATAGGTTATATGATCCCATTAAAAGAAAGATCATTGTTAGCAGGGATGTCGTGTTCGAAGAAAATAAGAAATGGGATTGGAATACAAGTCACTCAGAATTTAACAAAGATCAGCTTGATTGTGGAGATATGGATACTACTATTGTTGACCAAGAGAGTGATACAGTGACACCACAAGATCAATCAGAGCATGAAGAAGCCATCGAGTACAGTGGAGATACAAGTCACTCAACAGCTGAGAATGAGGAGCTTGAGAATGCAGCTGGGACTGAGATTGCTACTGAGGATGATAATGTAGTAGCTACAACAGAAAAATCTGCAGCAGTGGGCCAACGTAGCAGAAGAGCTCCAAGGTGGATGGAGGATTATGTGGTGAACTCTATTGTTTCAAACTCTGATGTGGCAGCATGTATTAACCCCCAATCCTTTGAGGAAGCTGTTCTAAATACCAACTGGAAGAAAGCCATGGATGCTGAAATTCAGTCCATTGAAAAGAATGGAACCTGGACTCTAGTTGAATTACCAAAGGGAGTCGCAAGCATAGGGGTTAAATGGGTGTATAAAACAAAATTGAATCAACATGGTGAGATTGACAAGTATAAGGCTCGCTTAGTAGCAAAGGGATATGCGCAACAACACGGAATTGATTATGAAGAAGTATACGCGCCAGTGGCAAGGCTAGACACTGTGCGTATGATCTTGGCTCTTGCTGCGCAACGAAGTTGGGTTGTGTATCAGCTCGACGTGAAGTCTGCATTCTTACAAGGTGAACTTACAGAGGAGGTGTATGTTGATCAACCAAAAGGATATGAAGTGAAGCATGAGACGACTAAGGTATACAAGCTCCAGAAAGCTTTATACGGCCTTAAACAAGCACCGAGAGCTTGGTTTAGCAGAATTGAAGCATACTTCAGAAACATGGGCTTTGATAAAGAAGCAAGCGAACAAACCTTGTTCACCAAGATCAATCAACAAGGGAAGCATTTTATCGTTAGCCTATATGTTGATGATTTGATTTATACCGGGAATGATGAAGCTATGTTGAAAGAATTCAAACAATCAATGATGGAGGAATTTGAAATGACTGATCTGGGAAGAATGCACTTCTTCCTTGGCTTAGAGGTTATGCAGATTGACAGTGGAATCTTCATCTCTCAAAAGAGATATGCCAAAGAGGTCTTGAAGAAGTTTGGAATGGATAAAAGCAACTTGGTCCTAAATCCTACTGTTCCTGGGGTTAAAATTGATAAAGATGATACAGGTGTGACAGTAAACAACTCCATGTTCAAGCAACTTGTTGGTAGCTTGATATATTTAACCACTACCAGGCCGGATCTGATGTATGCAGTTAGTGTAGTCAGTAGATATATGGCCAAGCCAACTGAGATGCATCTTATGGCAGCAAAGAGAATACTGAGGTATGTGCAGGGAACTATGTGTTTTGGGATTTTCTATCAAAGATCAGGCAATCAGGAGCTTGTGGGATACACAGACAGCGACTATGCCGGATGTATCGATGACAGGAAAAGCACCTCGGGCTATGCCTTTATACTTAGCAATGCAGCGGTGGCATGGTCATCAAGGAAACAGCCTATAGTCACACTCAGCACCACCGAAGCAGAATTCGTAGCTGCGTCAGCTTGTGCCTGCCAACTGATTTGGATGAAGAGGGTGATGTCCAAGTTGGACTACAATGGAAGCAAAAGTCCAGTGATTTTTTGTGATAACAGTTCTACCATCAAGCTCTCAAAGAACCCGGTTATGCATGGTAAGAGCAAACATATTGATGTGCGCTTTCACTTCCTCAGTGATTTAGTAAATGAAGGAAAGGTTCAATTGAATTATTGCGGCACCAAACAGCAAATAGCTGATATCTTTACTAAGCCGCTCAAGCTTGAAGTCTTTCAAGAGCTCAGGAAGAAGCTTGGCGTATGTGACATCTCAGAGATAAACTAGACAGTCTAGTTTAGGGGGAGAATTGTTATGTTATTATTAATATTGTTATTAATTGTTATTTGCTATATGTAACTGACTTAGTCTCTATTGATCGTGAGAGGATCATGGTTGTTAGTTTTAATTAAGCCTAAATTGTAGGGAGTCAAGTATGACTTAGTGGCCCTGATTCTTAGGAAGCATTCAGTTCAGTTTTCCTTTTTGTAAGCTATTTATATAGCAGTATTTCATTCTAATAAATATCAGTTACCAGATTTGCTAACAGTTTTGCGAAATTAGTTTGGTTTGCGTTGCCGATGGGTATAAGGGTTCCTGAAAATCTATCCTTAATTGATTGGGTGAAATCTTTCTTGGATTGTCCTAAACCATCTTTGGTCCCGGTGGTTTGCACCACATTATGGAAATTTTGGTATGCTAGGAACTCTAAGGTCTTTGACAATAAGTACCTGATGCCTAAAAATGTTGCGCAGAAGGCAATCGATCACTCAAGAGAGTACGCGAGTTCTGCGGGTCAACAGCACGCTAAGAACTCTAGGCTGCTTCGGTAGGATTTTTAGCACCAGACTAAAGATACTTTTCTATTTTTTGTGGATGCAGGGTGTTTTGTTGATGGCTTCCTGGTGTTAGGTTGTGTAATAAAGGATATTAACAACAAAGTTGTGTTATGAGCCTGCAAAAAAATTGCCTCTTCCGCAGGTTCGTTGGTGGAGAAAGCTTTGGCGTTGCGTTGGGGTCTTCAGCTTTCTAAGGATCTTAGCTTTTCAAAAGTGGTGATCCTTTCGGATGTTCTAGCAGTAGTGGATTGTGTTAATTGTATAAGATCTGTTGCGGATATTAGTCTGATTGTTGTTGATTGTCGGAACATTTTGAATTCTTTTGCTATTTTCTCTGTTGTTTTTATTGGTAGAATTAAAAACTTTGAAGCCCACTTTCTTGTGAAGATTGGTATATGTACTGGTCCTAGAACATGGTTGGGTCTAATCCCACCCGAAATTGTACCCATTTTGTGTGTGTAATGGAAATGGGTTGGTTATAAAAAAAATGTATAGTATGGATTTGAATAGTTTTAAAGTAAAACAATTTTTACAATATTTTATTCTGTTATTAGTCTTTTATGGTATTTCAATTCCTTATAGAGATGATCTTGACCCTTCAGTGATGCTAGGACCACCCAGCTATGATAAGATGACCTCGACCCTTTATTAAAATAACTTCAACCTTTCAACAAAGTCAATGTCTAACGACTAAGATAAGAGACAACCACTTTTATCTTATTAATTAGTACCAAGTAGATAAAGTATTCTTTGAAAAGTCATTTTTACACCTTAGAGTGAAAATGATTATCTGGATATGACAAATATAAATAAAGAAAAATATTTCATTAACAATATCCATATGGTTGTATCATGCTTAACCTTATGCCTACATGAACTAAATGCGAAGAATAATACAATCCAACACGAGGAATATGATTCACTCCAAGAAATTAAAAGCATTTGCACAGAATTATTCATTATTTAAACAAACCAATAAATTTTGTGTGGGAAAAAAGAAAATTAACAACCAAAATAAATGGCCTTCAGCATAATTAATTATATGTATAATAAAACATCAATTTAACTTTAACATTATGAGATAAAATAAAGATAATAAAAATAATAATTTGTTTACCCAATTAGTTCATACGATCTACTCAGAAGAAGAGAGAAGTTATATGATTCATTATTTAAGAGTTGTTACAAAAGATTACAATTACGTTATAAAAATAGTTACTCAATTTCACAAGAAGAAATCCTATTCTATACTAGAGTATTTGTTAATCTCTCAGACTCCTTATATATGAATCACACAATACCAAAGTATTTAGAAGTGTTTCTCAATCTCCCATTAGATATCTCAAAGTTATTCTTGAATTCCAAAAAACACATTTTAGGAGTTTACTCTTGCTTGTCTAAGATTACCACTAGGATTCTCAAACCCTTCTTTCCGTCTTCAGTTCTAAAGTTATAAAGGTTGTGATAGGAAGCAAGCAAGAGATACATGTTTATAATAAATGAAACCAAATGTATCCATAACAAGGTCAAAATATAACCCATAAATGAATGGATCCACAAACTAAACAACGAAGTCCAATACAAACGAAACGAGAAAATTGAACTCGAGCTCTGAAGAATAATACTGCTCGGGGGACTGTAACCCATTAATGTGTCATAGACACTGCACTACCATCATTTTGCCACATCGGCTCCACTACTATCTTCACTTTCCTCGACTCCACCATAATATTAACTTTACCCTGTCGCGCGAGTTGTGTAGCTTGCTTCGTACCATACTAGTTTTATCGCCATCCTCGCTAAGCACTACCTCACATATATGCTTCCTTTTTTGACTTCCAGGATAATTAGTGACTTTTGACATCTTGAAATATGTTTTCTTACTCTCCACTTTGACTTGAAACCATGGTGATACTAATTTATCCATCAACCACTTTGTTGCTCTATGCTAATTCAATAGTTATTGAACAATTCTTATGAAGGTCACGCCTCGCTGAACCTTGATCTTGAAACTTGCATCCACTTCCTCCCAATAACCTTTTTCCGCTTCAGTAATATAACAAGCACATAAGTCCGGTTACTACAACAAAAAAGCATTCATCTTCGACAAATATGGTGATGAGTTATGGTGCTCAATTTAAAAGCTCTCGCATGATTCTTTCATATTTTTGTTGTTCAGGTTGGTGGAATTATCGGTAATAATCTTACTTAGGAGTCCATAGTAATAAATAGTCCCTCTTTTGATGAACATGGCATCTACTTGTCTTGTCACATTGGCGTAAGAAGCGGCTTTAATCCATTTTGTGAAGTAATCAATAGATAACAAGATAAAATGATGTACGTTTGAAGATTTAGGTTAAATGAGTCCAATCATGTCAAATTCACCGCTTAGAGAGTTGACATGGTGCTGCTAAGATGTTCTAGGGAGTTCGTGGTACATGCACTTTGTTGGCGTAAATTTGGCATATGTGGAACTTCTTTACATAGCTCAAACAATCAACTTCCATGGTCAATCAATAATATCTGCTTCGTATAATTTACCTATCCATTGTATGACCACTGGGGTGAGTCCCAAAGGAACCCTCATGGATTTCTTATCTCCATTTGAAATACCTATTGGGTATTCTTGGTTCTTGAGATAACATCTGATATCGTGAAACCAGGGCTTACCGTCAAGTTCATCTTCGACCGATAGACATAATGTTAGTTTATCTTGCCTTTGGATTTTTACAAATGGATTATCTTGATCACTACTTATTTTAAACATGGATGATAAGGTATCCAAGGCGTCAGCTAGTTGATTGTCTTCTCGAGGAATGTGATGGAAATTAATATTATTAAAGTGGTCCAACACTTTCGTGATGTGATTGATGGGAAAAATAACAAGTGTACTATTTTTTCCTTGCAGTAATAATGGGAAATTCCTCGAATGTCGATCTCAAGGACTGCATACAATTATCGAGTTCAATTCACGTTCAATTAAACAAAAACTTTAACCGGAGTTTTGGTTTAGGAATTGTCACTTAGCAGATATAAAAATAATTAGAATGTAAATTAGGGCTTTTTCACAGATATGGGTGTCATACCCAAAATTTTCCCGCCCTTTTATCACTACGGTCGAAATTAATTTCAAACTTAGATTTTTATAAAAAAAAATTGATTTAAGTTAATATTTTAGGGTTTTATAAATATTCGTTCTCAGGTCCAGTTAAAAATATAATAATTTATTTAAAGGTTATTTGTATTTTTGAATAAAATATTTGCTCGTCTTTATGTATTTCTAATTGGCTTTTTATTTTGAATATGTAACATAGAACAGTTGATAAAGAATGGAGCTTGCAAGTATTAGGTTGTTGGTTTGAATCTCGTGTGTGGTACTTTTAAACATTTTCTTTTTATTTTTACTAATTTACTTCCCTTTTTTGGAGATCAAACTTTGAACTTTTTTTTAGACTTTTAAATAACTTAATCTCTAAGTCTTTGTCTAACCTCATTCAAGCCAATAAAAAAAACTCTTATTTGTCCTAAATTTTCACAGATCCACAAAATCAAAAATTTCATTCTACAAATCCTTTTCTCTCGCCAATCCCAGTCACACTACATTATCATCTCCTATTTTACTTCACAGACACTTCTAACCTTATTTTTCTACTTGTTTTCTAAACTCTACTTTTGTACATAGAAAAGCAATTCTCGTATAAACTTGGTACACATTTTTACTTTTAGACATTTTTACTCACATTTCTTTGCAAAGCAAAACCAACAGATAAAAAGAGTTACACAAAAATTTAGAGACTTTTTTATCCACAACTTTTTGTTGTAGATCTTTCCAATCACTATTCTCATTACACATATTTATCTATATTGTTTTTATACTTCTTCATGTCGATAATGTGATGATAAATGCAAAAAAATAACTACAAATGATGGGATTTAATTTCATGACCCCTGCCAGATATTTTTCTGATGATAAGTTTTTGTTTATTTGCTTTCAAAGTTTCAAACGTTATGATGACATTGGTGCCAAATCATAACCCTTCTTCACCATTTACATTCAAATCTTATATTTAGAGAACCTTCAACTACCTAAACATGTAGCTACACAAGCAGAACAATAACAACTGCACTATCACTTTCTTGGTGATAATTTCTCCTCTCAACAACCACTGATTTCGGCATAACCTCCACACTTCCGATCCAGAAGAAACCGATATAGGCTGGGAGTCACACCTCCATCGTCAACGATGCAACAGACAGATCCAGATCACCGATCATCACCTTCAGTATTGGAGATTGCCCATTGAGAATATCACATGTATCCATCTATTGTGCCCTTTATGAAACTTTTTTAATGGGTTTTATTGTTGGTTCTTAGGTGAAGAAGCTGAAAGAACAATGAAAGAAAGGGAGAAAGAGAAGATATGATAGAGATGAGGGAGGCAGATTTTTAGATCTAAATATAACATCGGTCGTCTCTCATGCTTATGTTTTTGTAATTTTTGTTTTTTCTTAAACAACACGCCACATGTTGCTTCCTAAGTGGCTATAGGCATTAGTACTAAAAATAAAACCTTTACAAAATAAAAAATAACGGATGAGTGTAGCGTAAATTGGTTTGTTATTTCCTTTACCATTCTATTTGGCTGTTCTTCATTTTATTGGCATTATTTATAATAGAAATAAGTTTTTTTTTTAGAAATCTTATTAAGTTAATTTAATATTTTACATCAAAATATTAAAATCCGTGCAACTCATCAAATACCCCATCCACGAGCAATACATAGCTAATATCTGGTCACGTGATAAAGAGACTATATCAGACTTCTTCGTCCTACGTCTTAGTATTACTAACCAATCAAAAACATTTATTCAACTAACATAATAAAAACTACAAGATTATTTTTGAAAAAAGATTAAGGAGAATTACTTTCAAAATTAACTGCGAACTACGTCTACGCTCACATAGTTTTTAACCCAGACAAGATTCAAGGATAATTCGAAATCAATTCTACACAATCCTATAAAAATACAAACCAACCGCGAACTACGAATTGGGACTCTGATTCCTCATAAGAGGATATGTAGGCATACACTTAAAATCGTAGCGAGTCCCCCAAATTAAAACAAAACCCCTTTTTCCCCTAATGAATATTAAAACTCTATTTCCTACAAACGCGCTTCTAAACCTAGTATCCTTGTGAATAAGGTGGATGAGGGGTGCCTACACCTTCCCTTCATCTAGAACCGAGTCAGAAAACCTATAATCTCTAACTTTTAGGGTTATTCCTTTATATTCCCTTCCTTAGGATAAAAATTATGGGTGACGACTCTGTATTTAAAGCCAGTTGCAACAATGGGGAGCATGATAGGGTATGGTGTATAATTTGCCCTGTAACAACCTTGAATCCTAATCTCTTCAACAATTTCATATCCTTCAATTACCATCGCTTTAGATTATATCC